GGGCTCTAAATGTGTAATCATCTCCAAGATGGTGTCCACACTGTGGCCTGACTAAAGAGAAGGCTGAACACATAGCGACACCTTCCTGGTGCATCGATCTGGAAACTGTTGAAATGCCATGACAGTGCAACAGTATGACACTGTAGAAATTGCCAGTTTGGTGCATCAATCTTAAACTACTTCTGCCATTTTTTTTCTTTTTTTGGTGCATCAGCTTGAAACTGTTTTCACCATTCTGATGCACATTAAACTCTTTGTCAATCCCACTGCACTGTACCAGTGCCCACAGACCTGTAAGTGATTGTATGTAGATCTGACCTTTTCTTTTCTCACCTGTACTGTGCTATCTGCTTTTCAAGTCAAGGTGAGATCCTCTAATCTGACTCTAAGAGGTATAGTAAAAAGCAGCTTAAAAAAAAACTTTAAAAAACCCATAAAAGACAAGCTGAAAGACTTCAAAAAGCTTATGCTTATTATATGTCTTTTATTGAATTTTGTTTTTGGAAAAAAAAATAGATTTTAATGCGTGGAATGTGTTTTGGTCAGGAAGTACAAGAAAAAAATTAACATTGTTCTAAGCTGTCTGTTGTTTTTTTATTTTTCAGCAAATTTTGAAAAACTGCTAAATGAGTGCTGTAGTCTCTGGTTTTGCATCATTAAGTCATTCAGACGTTTGATTTTTGTTTTTTCTTTGTTTTGCTTACTTTTAGTGCTACCATGGCTCGGGTGTTTAAAAAAAGATAAAATGTCACTCTGTAATGTCATCAAGTTCATGAATCACTTCTTATCAGGTTCAAGTGGTGAAATGGAGTTTTATTTTGTGTTGAGGAGAAGCCATTGCAACAGCATCTTCAGTGCAGGCCTTACGTGACAACTAGTTCGCTGTAACCTCCCAGCTTCCAGTTAAACCCAATATATCAGTGTACTGGGACTATTTAAGAAGAACAGATCAGTGGTTGTGCTGCGGGTGATGGGAAAGTTATGAAGATCCAAAGGCCATCACAACTCAATGGCTGCCTTTTGCGAGACGAGTCCAAAATGCGGTTCTGTTTCATACTTTTCATGTTAAGGGTACTGTTTATATAACTTTTTGTTTGTGTGTCTGTTTGTTTGTTTGTTTTTTTTAAGTGCCAATTAATTAAAATGAGACCATTAAGGTGCATTTTGGGGTGGGGAATGGTACACTGAGAGCATTAAAGGAATATTTTATGGGTCACGGGAGGGGGGTGGGCGGGGTTGGTAAAACGGAACCAAACCTTTTTCACTAACGCTGTATTAATAATTGATAACGATAGTTGTTTAGAACAAGTTTTCAGTTTGTTATCTTAAAGAACTAAAACTGCAAAATGTTGTGTGTAGAGAATTCAGTCACGCCACAGTGTTTTGAAGCAAGCGTTCTTAGGCATTCTTTTCTTATATTAGGCTACAGTATGGCTATCGAATGACAAATAGGACACAGACATTTAAAAAATTTTTATTTAGTATAAACGAAAGAGACATTATAAAAATGTATATTTTACATGTCAATGCTATTTTTGTTTAACAAAAAGAAAAGAGTATATCACATTGGGCTTTGGTGTTGAGTTTGAGCAGTCACATTGCTGCATTTGGCTTTTCCCTTGTCTTGCCCATGGTAAACATGAACACACACGAACCGTTTGCTTTTCTCATGTCATCCTGAGTTCATTTTATTATTTGCTAGCTAAATAACGAAAAGTGGCAAGTTCACTAAAAAGAAAGCATGCACAAACTTGCTGTTTTGCTATCTGTTAACATTTTTAATTTCATACATAGAACTACAGGATTTACTTGATAATTTTCAAAAATTTATGATGTACAGTATTTAATATAGGCCTATTTTGTTGTATGTGTTGCATATTATTCAAAAACCGAACAAACTGGGGCCTCTGTTACAAGTGGCAAAGCTTTCTGTGTATAATTTGTCTAATAAACAGGTTTTCTACAGTGGGATGGTATTTGTTGTCTTTGCTAATGTAGACAACCATCAGAGGAAAGTCACACTTCAAAATTCAACATGAAAAAACACAACAGTTTGTGAATAATTAGTTAAAGAAGAGGATATTTATCGTTCCTTACATTAAACAGCTGTGCTCAAACTTATTTTGGCATGTTCCCCCTGCCCCATGACTTTCATCAATTCTTTACAATATAAAAACAACCAGATGAATTCTCTGTGATGTAAACATTAGCACAGTAACATCAGCAAACTATTGTTTATTTCTGAGGAAAAAAGTAATTCTACATAGTGTCACTTTTGCTTTTTTCTAACGTGCTTGGCTGTGTCCCACCTGCAGTGGCTCTAAATCCCACCACAGACTGAGAAACACTGCACTAAACATATCACTTCCTGGTTCCCAACACACGGGAAAACTCTTCACATTTTTTTCTTATAAAGGAAGCATCTAAAGATTTAAATTCACAGCTTTCACCGTTTTCATGTATTTTACGGCAGCGTTGATCCAGATACTGGATATCAGAATCATGATAGAAGTGGATACAAATGTTTTGTGAGTTCATTTCATGTGTGGAATACGTGTGAAGTTCAAGCCTGAGCTAAGCTTTTGTGTCTTTCCTAAATAGGCTATCACTTCAAAGGCCCATATACTGCTGTTAACAGCTGGATAGAGATCCTGCTGAGGATGACTGCTGTCAAGTTCACTGGAGCATTACACTGCAATAGCCTTTGTGAACCAGATAGTGGCACTACATAGCTCCCACAAGTGTCTCTCTGAACTTACTGTTAGCACTCAGTGATGAGTTGAATGGTTGTCAGGCATTCCCAGAGCTAATTAGAATTAATGGAAGACAGTGATGGACACAGCTGAGCCACAGCAAATTTGAACTAAAGGTCTGAGATCACTGTAAGCAACTTAATGTAGACTTAACCACTCACATTTCACCCTTTTGAAGAGGAAGCATATAGATTATAGACTCTAAAACAACTATGGATTCTTTTTATGGCATAAAATATAACTTGTAATAGATCTCTATATATTTAATGAGAAGCCTCAAGAAAATAATATAGACACGCACAAAGCTTTGTTAAATATGATTTTACTAAAGATTAAGTCTATACTGGTTTAGCTATAATGAAGGGAGTCTAGTTGAAATGCTGTTAATTTCGAGTTTTATTGACACTGCTCCTGTAGGTAAAATGGATGAGTTCCAGTGAGTTCCAATTAAAACATCAAGTATTTAAATTCCATGATCTTCATTTTTCGGGAACAGGAAGCTTCCCCTCCGTTGTTTCCTATTTTAAAGTTACACATTTAGAAGATTACTTCATCCGAAGCAATCCCTGATCTATGCGGGTTTAGTTGATTTAGTTGAAACGCAGATACGTTTTGAAATCCCTGTCCAGCTCCCCTCACCCCAGTCTCGTGCCCGTCGCGCCCCTGTCTCCAGGGAGATGGGAATGAGAAGGGGCAGCACGCAGACTCCTCTCGCGCACTGGAATGGGAGCCCGCCACTCTCCCTCGAGGAGCCCCCCAGGCGTGACCAATGGAACATAGAGTCTCCATTGTGGCTGCGACACTTTAATAATCGTCAGCTACAATATCCAACCTGTCGGTAGCTTCAGGAGCCCGGCACAGCCCGTTAGATGGGGGGGCTCGTAGGTGGGAAGAGGGGGCAAACGCTCGGCGCCAGACCTCTAGCCCGCAAGACGTCCCCATGATGAATACATGAATAAAAAATGGAAAAGACTGATGTCGGATTATCTCTGAAATTATGGGGTTCCTTCACACAATTCCTTGCCATATATTGTGTCGTGGATGTCTCGCGGATTATGAATGAAAACGCAAAAAAAAGAATTCTTTATTTTTTTTAAATTATTTGATAAGTTTATTTCATTTGAATTTGGTTAGATTTTTTTTTTTAATATTACCAGGATACTTTGGCAGCTACATTCGGGTTTGCATCTCTTGATCTTTGTGTCCCATACACCGATCTTGTGCATATCCTTCTAATCCTTCTAATTGACTGCGCTGAGCCCATTTCCCATCAGCAATCACCCTCTTGCTATTTTGCCAGATGCCTAAAGTTTACATCTCGGTAAGCACGGCTCCTTTGATCATCAGACTGAACGTGGTTCATTTTGCTTCCCGTTGATTTTTTTTAACTGTAGCTTTAAAAGCCGTATTTCGTTTTTCTAAAGGTCGCCTATCTTATAGAAGGCATGGTGAAGTTTGGCAATAACGTCGGTGTGTGTGTGCGCGCGAGAGAACCCTTCAACCGCGCGCCACTTGTGTCAGTATGGAAACAGTGTTGAGACCCCTACTCATGTTTCCGTTCCCTGTGAAGCCCTTTTTTACCGAAAGGGCGGTTCCGAGAGCTGGATCAAAAGGTTTTAGAGCCTCTACAAAAGAAAAATGGAAACTGGAGATGATCTGAGAATGAATGAATGAGCGCGCGAGCCCCAGGAACTGCTACGTTCTTTTTTCTTTTTTTTTTTTTTTTTTGGCTTTTGGTCACGCTTCATCTACCCACGACTTTTCTTCCTCAACTTTGTTCATTTCTGCTACTGGTGAAATCCAGCAGTTTGGTTTTGGCTGAAGCGGTTTTATAGTGGAAAGCATTAAATGAACTAACCGAGTCGCCACTTCCACAGCCGTGGGTAGCAAATTAACCACTTGAACCTTGCCATGCGCCTCTTTAACCCTCTCCCTACTCTGCGTCATTCCTGAGATGTAACACGGGCTCAGAAGCAGGTAGGTGTTCTTGTCCCGTCCACGCTCCTCACCTAAAAACCGTCATCACTTGCACGTGCGTCCTGTGGGAGGTTCCCCTTACCTCCCTTGTGTTAAACACCCCCTTAAATTGTAACGTTATCATAAACAGTCCAGCGTCGGGGGGTCATAATCGCCTCTCTCGGGCTTTACCGAGACTTCTCATTGGACGTCAACACGCGACCGACGCGAGGAGGGGGGCTTCCAGGCGCGTGCCGCTTTTTAAACCGACGCCGCGCCTTGAGACACCAGAGAAGGAGTCTCGCACGCGACACTCACATTCACACGGTGAGACAACATAGCTGTGCGTGCCTCCGATAACTTTTTTTCTCTACAGTGTTTTTCTTGGGGGGAATCATGGATGTCCTAACTGTGGAGGGCTGGAGCAAATGCGCACGTGAGGCGCCGGCCACGCACTCGCGGCAGCAGAGTTGTGGGAGCCCCAGAGAGGTGGAGAGGGGAGGGAAGCAACAGTTCGAGGAGTCCCGCTACGAACCTGGGCTGACGCTCGTGGACAGCGATAGCGACCCACGCGCCTGGCTGGCTTCCGCTTCTGGCACCTGTGCGGCACACGCCACTTCACCCGACTACCTGCGGCACTCGCCATGTCCGAGTACCGGCTCCTACCACGGTGAGGAACAGCACCAGTGCGTGCAACTTTTGAGCAGCTTTCCCGTTAATTATCTAAAAACCGGCTCATGCAACAGGCAGCAGGGGCTGTTGGTGGTAACTGATGTAATTTATCAAGCTCTGGAAGTTAAATATAAACAGAAGGAGCGCTGCCTTTATGTAAATTATAACGTTTTTTGCGCAGTTGGAAAGTTGTAACGAGTTTATTGTCTAAAATAGTACTGATACGCTTTTTTCACAACCCAGAGTGTAGCTTAATTTCTTTTCATTTTTCAGAGAGTGGCTCCCCGGGTTCCTCAGGCCATCCCAGCCCACAGAGCTACAGAAAACCTGCCAAGAGCCTCACGTCTTCTTCTCTCAAAGTCAGGGAGTTGTGTCGCCTTAAAGGCACCCTCACCGGGCCCGAAGAGGAGGCCTCCGTGAGACAGAGAGCCCCCTCCCACAAGCCTGTCAATGGGATTCAAAGGCAAAGGAGAGTGGCCGCCAACGCGCGTGAGAGAAGGCGAATGCACGGGCTCAACCATGCGTTTGATGAGCTGCGCAGCGTCATCCCAGCGTTTGACAACGACAAGAAGCTCTCGAAGTATGAAACTCTGCAGATGGCGCAGATTTACATCAACGCCCTCGCCGAGCTTCTCCAAGGTCCAGTGTCCTCCTCCTCTTCCTCCAGCAGCAGCAGCAGCAGCAGTAATAACGACATCTCCAACAACACCAGCTCGCCAAAGTGTGACATTATGCTCTCGTCCACCGCTGGTTATGACGGGATGAAGGACAGGGCCTCTCAGTCTCCCTCAACCTGCAGAGCAGCGGACCCTGCGCCCGTTTCAGGTAGCAGCTTACCTGTGCACATCAGCGGGGTTCCCTTCTGTTCCTCCTTCGACGAAAGTTCGTTTTCCACTAGAGTTGAAAAAGCGATGTGTTCCCCGTCTCCTTCGGCATCTGCTCGGGCGGGCAGTTCGCAGTTTGCAAATGGGAGGAAAGCGTCTCCCCGGAGCGACGGAGAGTTTTCCCCGCACTCCCACTTCAGTGACTCGGATGAAATAGCGATGGAGCTTCATTCGAGTGAAGAAGACGATCTTTCAGAACTGAAGCTGCCCTCACACCATCACCGCACAATTTCCTTCTAAATTCCCACATAAAGACACAGTATAGCGAAGTTTCTCTATAGCCTACAGTGAAGTAATGTCCATAAGACGTGTCAATCATAGCGATAGTCCTGCGTTGACGAAATGCGTTTGTAAGAGAAATTCTTGCTTTTTGCAAATAAAAGAAAAAGAAGTTTAATGTTTAATTTAACATGTTGCATCGTTTAAAGATCTTTTTTAAAAATGTGAGTAAGGCCTAATTTGATTCTGCCAATAAATATCTATCCTATAATTTTTCAGTCTCCATGGAGACGTGGTTGGAAGACCCCTCTGCCATGTCGCGCGCAGCACTGCCACGGGTATTTCCCACGTCCCTCCAACCAAAAAGCTGTCTTCCACAAAAAAATCACAAGTTTATGGATAATTGCTTATATTTGATAATGTAAAGACGTTTTTGTAGCTATGAAATGAGTTTTGTTGTGATTTATGTTTTTTTTTTTTGTAAAAATGAATTTTGTTTTGCAACTTTAAAAGTTCATGATGTGCACTTTAAACTATAAGAGCCAGAGGCTTTGTTTGTTGTTTGTTTGTTTTCACACCATAAATATAAAAATAGAGGTTTGCTTTGTTTGTTAGTGTAGTGCTGCCAACTCCATACAAATAGCCTATTTAATGTAGCCATCATTGCTGCCGCCTTTTGTATTTTCTTTTTTTTTATCTTCACATCAGCTTGTGTCTTTTTTCTTTGGTTGGTAACTGTTTTTGTTCTTGTATGTAATGTATTTATTGCTCATAGCCCATGTTTCCTGTGATTTGCTTTTTTTAGTTAAATTTGCCCCAGGAAAAAAGCAATCATTCGCCATTATTAGTTATGTTAATTTGATTTTGGAAATAATAATAATAAAAAAAAGCAAACGAAAATGTCATGTCTCTGTTTCTGTGACCCTGTTGATGATGATAATAATAATATTAATAATTTCTTTATTTCTATGGATAAGTTCCAAGTAAAATAGCACCAAAACGTTTTATTGCCTAATTCTTGCATATAATGCATAAACCTTAACGAATTTTGAATCGATAAAATAACGTTGACGTCAGTTTTGGTTCCATAGGTTTTATGAGTTAGGCAAATACAAATAGGCCAAGAAGTTTGATTTTATCCCTAAAGCTATAGGAGGAAAAAAACAAATTTAAACACGCATTTATGTTTAATTATAGACGCTTTTAATATTTGAGCTTCTCTTATGTAATGTGATGTAAACACGCGCTCGCATATGTTGCAGGTACACGCGCCCCCCCTGGCTTGTTGCACCTTGTGCTCTAAAGTTGCAGTGATCGACTTCTTCAACACAGAAAAGTTCGCTTTAATTAATTTCAGTCTGTTGCTTCCTTGAAACAAACTTTTTTTTTCTTTTTCTTGAACTCTTGCCACGCTGTCCATTTGGTGAATATCGGATTTATTAATGGGGAATGTGCATTAATTTCAGGCTATTGTTGGCAGGCTCGTGGGCCGAGGTGTTGGATGGCCTCAGTGAAGCACGCTCTGTCAGCTGGTGAGCGCTCACGGGTCCCCACCGTGTCCCCGAGGACCTGACTCGAGAGGGAACACACTTTTCTCCATTAAAGAAAGGCCTGCACACACACGGGTGCGCGCACATACACGCACACACTGACACACGTGTACACCTCTTCGCCTCCGCTTCTTTCTTTCTCTTTCTTTCTTTCCGTCAACTTAGACAAACACGCACGTGGAACGCACGCACCCCGCTCGCGCGGGCTCTGGCAACCTGGGCTGCTGCGTGACTCAGGCTCAAATTAGTCGTCCCCTCCACCCCCGCCCCTCTTTCTTCAGGCTATTTACTACAATGCTTAAAAACCCTGGCGGATAAAGGTGCCTGCTACAGAGGAGAGGAGTAAAATAGGCACCTTCGAAATTATTCATGATGGTGAGCAACCTGTTTGCTACCTGTCACTGCTATGTCTCCCACCCACTGTTATGAGCCAATCGCAGTCTGCGCCCCTGCGCTCGCCCCTCGAAGGCAGGGAATAAAGGGGAATATAATAAGGAATCCGTGTTAAATTATTAAAAGAATTTATGCAGCTAGAGCTGTATCCGAGTATGATCGGACAGCAATTTGAGCCGAGTTCGTTTTGCGGTGAAGCGAGCTCAAGTTTCGTAAACATTTTTTTTTTTCAAATGGATACAGAAGAGCCAGAACAGTAACACTGATCATCTGTGTAACCACCAACCCCCCGCAGAGATGTTTAAGACGTAACCGACTAGAATGAGGCCACAACAAGTATTCAAATTCTGGTCTAGGATCGGGTTCAAAGAATCACTGACACTTCTCGTTATTCAGCGCAATGTTAACAGCTGTCTGAATCAGATAAAAACAAATAAATAAGTAAACAAATGAAACGAGATTAGCTGTAAAACGATATCCACGCACAACAAAGAATGTGGCGCCCGACGCTTTATGTTTAAGCGAAGCAGTTTGTTTTTATTTCTAAAGCATTCATGTTTGATGGGCTATGCAAATACTCAGGCTTAACTGGGAAACCCACAACCGCTGAGCTTTCCGAGGAGTTTCTATAATATGACAGGCTATTTGGATTTAAATTGATGGTTTACCGCAGAAACCACAGGATTCGACTTCTAATAATGCAATACCTTTATTTTATCTCATTTTTTGCAGGGTAGAGTAATTTGCTGACTTCTTTCTTAATATAAAACGACACAATTTTTCGGCTACATTAGGGTTAAAATTTCTATAAACAAACATATACAAAGTTTAAAAAAAACATTTAAAAAAAAGCATATCTGTAACAGGTGGGATGCTGGTAGGCAGGTGGAGGTCTCGCTGTTTCAGGCACATTAATTATTAATGCATGGACGTTATGAAAGAAAAAAAAAAACAGAGTTCGGGAGAATGGGGCCCCTGACGCGTGTGGATACTGCTGCGAGTAAAAGGAGAAGCAAAAAGTAGAAACAGAACAACAAACGCACATAGAGCTTAATTTGCTTGTGGCTAAAGCTTAAACTCAGATGTAAGTTTTGCACATTGTCTTTACTGCTTTAACATATTTTCGACCTGTGCAGATGCCAAAAGAATAAGAAACTTAAATGCATCATGCACAGTGCATAACACTGAAAAAAAGGTGCAAGTTTTGTGCAAACTGGTTAAATCAGCAGGGATCAATGAAATAATTATTTTTTAATTCTATTTTTCCTGCATTAAGAAGTTTAAAAGTTCCAGTGAAGTCCTGGGATGATAAACAGTCAATGCATCTGAGGCTTGTGTACCTTCGTGCTCATTTCTATAAATATATTCAGAAAATGTGCATTCCCCAACTTTTTTTAATGAAAAGAAAGGCACTTGCATTTTGTATGAGATATGGGGAGCCGAGTTGTGTGCTGTCCAAAAAGCCACTGGTCTCTCTGGGGACCCAGAACAAAAGGCAGAACTGGGCCATAGTTTCCATCTGCTGTCTCAGAGACAGAGAGAAAGAGAGGTAGAGAGAGGGCAGTGAGTGAGGACACCATGGGCAGATATAGAGACGGAACAATGAGTGAGTGAGTGAGTG